CAAACTGCAATTACAGGGATGATAAAATGGAAAATACATATATATGCAGCAGCACCAGAGAAAAAACAATTAGCTTTGCACCAGTAAGAAATAATGCAGAACCCCTTGTGTCTTTAACAAACTGCTCTCAATATGTATTGCATCTTCATGACCCAAATATACTTAGGAAGAACATGACAATGAAATGTATGCTGGAAATGTAATAAAGGAACTAATGCAGTAAAGTTACCACATTTTATTAGTAGAAGAAAACAATTAAAATTATATCCAGGTAGTAACTTAGGAACCAAATGTCATAGCTGCCTCTTCTGCTGCCAAAATATGTGTACTCTCTTCCTAACGGTCTCTGTCCCGAAGGAAAAATAAATGTATCTAAGAAATACTTGTTAGCAATGCAATTACAGGCTTAATTCCCCAACCAACTTCAGACATCATAAAAACAAAACCAAGCTGAAGCCTTTTGCAACAGCAATGGAAAAGAGACTGAAAACCACAAAGTGTTCAGAGAAAGATAATAATATATTTTTACAACAACAGCTGACACACTCTTTGACAAGAACATCTGAGGAGTCATTAGCATTTGTTTTTCAACTGTATTGTCTTTTTCTTTTAAGCTACAGCCTAGAATGAAAAACTTCTTCTAAGAGAACACCCCATGCTACTCCTGGACAGGACTTTTGGGACACTCAGACACCAAAGTAGCTTGCCAGACACTCAGAAAAGCAAAGCAGCTGTATCCAAACAATATTTTTTGGCATTACGTACTTCGGAAGCTCTGGTCCCTCCAAGGAACTAAATAAGAGCTGAATTATTTGGACAATGTGAAATCAACTGTGAGAGACGAGACACTGGAAAGCTGATTCAGAGTACTTCTGAAATGTGGGCACTAAGGAACTGAGATTAAGAAAGAGTTGAATAAATAAGATAAAAGAAGGACAAAAAGTGCTAAACCTCACTTTTTCTGTGACCATGCTGATTAGATCCCATTCTTCCACACCTTGGAGAAACAAAACCTTCAAGAGGCCTAGTAAGGGCCATATGAAGTTTGTAGCTGTGCAAGGCTCGTATCTTTGGTATTTTTCAGGACCCCCATGCTGTGGTCTAGATTCATCCCACATCTCCTTGTGTACTTACTAGTGTGCTCCCTGATCAGCCTGGGCACCCTGTGCTCTCCCACTATCCTTAGAAAGGACTTGAGCTCCTCCAGAGATGTCTGTCCTGGGAAGGGATGCCTCAGACAATTGACTTCACTGAGGGAAACTGTGAACGAGCTTGGACACTTCCCCACATGGGGAGTGGGTGACTGATATTCCTGACTTAAGGGTCTGGCCTCCGTAGGAGAATTCTCACTTGATTCAGTAGCAGCACAGACTTACCGTTGGAGGTAATGTTGTGCACCACAAAATGGTACCATGCTATGTTCCTGCTAAATCCCTACTCCCAGTGCAAACTCCAAGTTCTTTGACAAGGCCCTGAAAAGTAAAGTCTTTTTCTCCCCAACTACTTTGTGTAGTTTGAAATTCTACCGCTCAGTAGAGACATAATCAGTGGCTATCAAAAGTCTCCATTCTTCTGAAATATTGGCATCAAAACCAAGATAAATATATTTGTTGTTTAAAAATTCAGTATTTTAAAATATTGAACATTAACATCCTTGTAATGATTTTTAAATTTGCTCTAAATCAGGGTAGATATTTTCCTCTGACAGTCACTTATAAAAGGTTACTGCATTGCTAGTTTCACAAGAAGAGGGAAGTGCTTTTTCTCTCGATTTGTCTTGCCTCCAGACTTGGATCCCAAAACGACAGATCACTGGAAAGGTTCCAGTTGTAGGCACTGGAGCTTTTTTGGGTGAAAAAGCCCATTCCCACTTAAATGCAAAAACTGTAGTCTTCAAGAACCAGGAATCACAAATGCCTGAATCCCTAGGTTGAAGACAATGCAGTACAGAGCTGATCAAGTTGATGCCAGAGAAAGGTGAAGAACTTTGCAGATGATCTCTAAGATGTGTCATGCCTAATAAAATTGACTGACTTCACTGGCATTTTCAATTAATAGATGCACCAAATTTCACTCTGTACATTTAAGCTGTCAATATCTACTCCCATAATGACAAGATGAGAAGGTTTTTGTGATGGGCTGGGTTTCTTTTCGCGTTTAAAGTGTGGCTGATTAAGGTTGAAATGGGATCAAGGATATGCTTTTTTCACTAATGGAGATTTTGGATAATAGTGACGAAGAGCTTTCATTTGCAAAGTGTGATGCCTCACACATCTGCATTGGACGCAAATCTTGAGAACTGTCCTTGACGAGGGTCATCAGAACTGGTGAGATTGGATATGTGACGTTTTTAATGTAGGCTCAGAAACAAGCTTCATTATTATTGAAAGCTGAAGATGAATTTATTGAGATGGTCTGAATAATTTCTCTGAAGCAGAAATTCCACAGACAGCTGCTGTCTCTCTCTTAATGAGTTTCAGAGTCTGCATAAAGAGGAAACCCAAGTCTTTGCAGAAAGCTCTGAAGAGATTTCTGTCTATCCTGCCTCACAGCCTGTCTCCTGAGAAGCACAACCAACAGCGCTGACAACAATAAACAAAAAACAAAGGTCTAGATTGAATGCTTGAATGATCTATGGTGTTGTTCTGCTGGTATGCACCTGAGGCTCATGACCTTTTTGCAAAATGGTGGAAACTGTAAAAAAAAGTTACATGCTTCCAGTGATTTGAAACAGAAGCAGGCTTTAACCGTAATCTTCTGGGATGGGTTTTAAATTTTCCTTAAATTGAGGGTGCTTAGACCTGATACTTTTGCTTATCACCTTAGGAAGACTGAGATCTATTGCAAATCAGGTCCCAGGCCAGGTTTATTTTTCAGGCATCTCTAGTCTGTGATAGGATGCTCATAGAATCAATCATAGAATCATAGAATAGTTGGTGTTGGAAAGGACCTTAAGATAGCATCATAGAATCATAGAATAGTTAGGGTTGGAAAGGATGGTAAGATCATCAAGTTCCAAGCCCCCTGCAATGGGCAGGGACACCTCACACTAAACCATGTCACCCAAGGCCTCATCTAACCTAGCCTTAAACACCGCCAGGGATGGAGCATTCACAAACTCCCTTGACAGCCCATTCCAGTGCCTCACCTCCCTAACAGGAAAGAAATTCTTCCTTATATCCAATCTAAACTTCCCCTGTTTAAGTTTGAACCCGTTACCCCTCTTCCTATCACTACAGTCCCTAATGAAGAGTCCATCCCCAGCATCCCTATAGGTCCCCTTCAGATACTGGAAGGCTGCTATGAGGTCTCCACGCAGCCTTCTCTTCTCCAGGCTGAACAGCCCCAACTTTCTCAGCCTGTCTTCATACGGGAGGTGCTCCAGTCCCCTGATCATCCTCGTGGCCCTCCTCTGGACTTGTTCCAACAGTTCCATGTCCTTTTTATGTTGAGGACACCAGAACTGCGCACAGTACTCCAGGTGAGGTCTCACAAGAGCAGAGTAGAGGGGCAGAGATGTTGGCGCTTTCTAATCAACAAGATGAGTTGAGAAGCACAGAGGAACACTGTGATAATGGTGGTATTTATGGGATGGGGAGCCAGCAGAAGCCATTGTTGGGTATGAATTATAAGCCTGTGTTAAGTTCCAAGGTGCAGACCTGGAAAGACTACCTTCCTTCCCCTTCCTTCCTTCATCCCTCCTTGCAGCAGATTAAAATTGCTACTTCATGGCATTTCTGGGATGGTAAACAATGTGGTACTTCTGTCTTGGAAACTTCTGCAAATGCCCTGACCCTTACTATTCATCCTTGGACCTGAGTCTCTTCTCAAACCAGCCCTGACAGTCATCCACATTGTCAGGTCCAGTAAGTGGCTGCAACATTAAAGAGCAAGTATTTGATGTCCAGAGAAAGTTAGGAAGTCTTAGGAATGAGCTAGAAAACCGATCTTCTCCACCAAAGGGTCTTATAAAGGTGCACAGTTGAATATAAGCACCTGGGAAAAGGCTCTTGAGAAAATGACATTAGAGAGGCAGAGGTGTCAGCACATTGTGGAAAAAACATGTATTTCTGCCACCTGTCAGCGGCTGTTCAGGAAGGTGTTCGAGACACCACCCGCTCCTTGGCTCACAGCTTCCAGGGAAGTGTTTGTACAGCTGACATGTGGAGGCAGCATGTGGACCTCTAATGGCATAAACCCATTATTTTTGCATTCATATCACATACAAACCTGCACCCCTACCCACATAAATCTCAGAGCACATGTTCTGCAAGTTAGGGGAACTCATCATACACATATTAGGCTACCCATGGTAAAAAAAGACTGCAGTATTTAAATGTAGCACCCAGTGTTTGCTCTCTGCCTATTTCTAATCTCCCCTGCAAAGACGGGACACGGATAGGGACCTCAATCACAGTCTGCTTCTGCCATGAGTACAGTAAAACAGACAGCACCAGAGCAAAATTTCCTATTAGAGCTGAAGAGCATGTCTCGGGGCAGGCTGTGAGAGAGGTGAGGCTGGAGGTCTTCTCCTCCCCTCCAGGGACCTTGGCTGCCCACAGAACTAACAAACAGAATAAAGCAGAAATAACAACTGCCGTCCTTCCTGCCAAAATGGAGATTTCAATAACCTGTGTCACAAACGGCAATAATAAGCAGGCTCCTCTGTTTCAAACCTAGGAGCAAACCTGCCAGGGGTAGAAATAAATCTTCAGAGAGATGGCTTAGATTAAAAGGCTTGCACCAAGCCGGATGAGAGAGGTGTACTTTCCTCCCAGGCCGAGGAAGCAGAAAGGCAAACAGTGGCTTGAATGTTTCCAGGCAAATTGGGCTGTTTTAATTACCTTACCTTCCCTCTCCCTTGACCTCAAGCCAGAGGCTGGGAGAGCACTCACCCCCCGCATGACTGGAGTGCGTATAACAGCATCAAACATGGATGAGAAAAAAGGGGAAACAGGGAGGGAGGCCTGACACGTCCAATCTGACAGGCTCAACAGGTTGCTGGTTGGAATGTTAGTGACGCCACCAGCGCTAGGAAAGCAGCTTTCTCTCGCAGTGGGTTTATTGAGAAGATTATTAAAGCCTTTTCATTTAAAAACATTGGCAGAGGCTTCTGCGTGAGTCAAGAGGACATTTTTTGCCCACATCCGTTTCCAACAGAGAAAAGAGAGTTTAAGGGGGGGAAAAAAACAAGCAAAACTCCACCAACTTTCCTCATGGCTGCCAAAAAGGGTCTTGAAAGAACTTGTCTTGTGAGTGAGAGGGACACCAAGAAGTACTCCTTGGCCCTAGACAGGTAACACAACTGTTTTCTTCACTGCCATTGCTTTGTCTTTGAGAGCAATATGAGATCACCAGTATGCTGATGGACTGTAGAAGTCAAAGTATGGGGTGTTTCACGGTGCATACTGGGAACATCTTTCAGTACTTTCAAAATGTTTTGTTTGATTTTTATCTTCCCAAACTTTCTTACTAAATGTGTGATGCATTTACTAGACAGCAGCCTGATGTGTCTGCATCTGTGATGGATTGAAGCAATCTACTGTTGACAAGCATCTCCTGCTATGTATTTTATAAGCTTAGCAGATTTATTGTAAGATGCAAAACCTCATGGATTATGCTGCAACTTTAGGCTGAATTATAATAGCGCTGTTGACACCACATTTGATTCAAGGCTCCTTTAAGCTTGAACGTCTAAATTATCTATTTGGTCTGAAAGAAATGTGATGGTGTTAAGGACTTGATCCTGCAAAACTTTATTCATGTAGACAGGTCTACCAGACTTGGAGCTAGTGTACTTCTCATTTGCCAGAGAGGTCCTGTGAGTAAATGCTCGCCTGAGTGAGGAAGGACCCTCTGAAAACATATAACATAGCTTGGGTTAAAAAATGAGTATAAATGTCAATCACAAACTAGTTTTGCAGTTGAACTTCTTTTCATTCTTCCTCTTGACTCAGACCAGAAAGTATATTTAAAAGAAAATAGCTGCTCAGTTACAACTTAGCACCTCTTGACATTTCCATTATCTCATTGGTTTTCAGGTTATTTATTGCTTGGCTCTCTTAAAATGCATGGGACAGAAACTTGGCATAAACACTGTCAGTTCAAATGGAAATCTGTCTCTCCATGTTCTTATACTGGGGTCACTGCCATCGTATGTTAGTCATTTGAGTGTCTGAGTTGCTATTTAAATATTATTACATGGCTCCATAAATATACATGGCACTGTCCAGAATGACTTTTGTGGTAATATTTATATCTTCAAAAGATCCCATATGATTCTGCAATTCGTTCTGGTTAGTGAAAGCTCTCAGAGCTTTTTTGATAGTTTGCAGTTTTGTGGGCATAGCTTCAATGCTTGAGGTCCTTTGGCTCTTTTCCACCTCTAGATGCAAGGACATCTCTGGACAAACCCTTTACATGGTGCGGGGTAGGGTGTCCTGAGACAGGGACAGTTGCTAGGCTGACTTGTGGGGATGCTCACATTTTCCCTATTTCACCAAGAACGGAGAATATCCCCAGTGAGAAGAGGGGTATGATGCACACTGGGAACAAGAATCCCTGGCAGCTCATCGTCCCATCTGAGAGCTGACTCACCTTCCGGAGGAGTCAATTTCTTTCTGATAATTATATTTCCATTTAGGATTGAAGTTATTTGGGGTGAATAGCTGCAGCAATTGCAATTGTTGGGCTGGTTGCTGCACATACACCCAACAGCCCCTCAGCTCAAGGGCTAGTCCCAGGTGGGCTCCATAGCAGAGGTCATGAGATGGGTGAGTTACTGCAGTGGTAACACAGCTCTCCAGGAGAAGGACTTCTTGTCCAGGTATGTGGCTTTTGTGCTGCACCTCCTCTTGGCTTTTCTTACCAGGTGGAATTTGGTTAACTACACAATCTCATTACTCTGTCCCAGCAATAACCAGAAACAGGGGCTGAGAACTGGGGTGTCCCTCCTGTTTGAAGAGCTGGCAGCTCATGGCAAGCCCTCGTCCTGCTGCTCCTTGCAGCCGAGTGCCTGAGGATGCCAGCCTTGGGGCCGGAGTGTGACAAGGGGGATGCAACCTGCTGGGCTCCAGCTTGCGCAGACTGGCTGTGTGCACAGCTTCAGGTGCCTTAAGCTGATCAGTAGAAATAAGCTCATCTTAGCCTTTGGTATAATTACCACATTTTTCCGTTCCCTGTATGTAGGCTTAATGAACAGCTCTAATGCTTTCAACAGAATTTATTTTGCAAGCAAATTGCCAATTTCTTTGCCATCCCCCAGCCTCCTTCTTTTTAATAAATGCTATTATTACAATACACAGGGAACAAAACTGTTTTTATCTTAACCATGTGAGTAGGAAGTCTGAAAACAGACCCCTTTCCCTGCACACAAGGCTGTATGGGGGAGAATGCTCTGTACATTCCGGACCTGCCTGTATTCACTAGTGGGTTTGGATGCATTGAGGTTTGCCGTGCCAGACTTGAAATGCTTGCAAGAGTGTGAGTTTTAACTAACCCCTCTGAAGAATCCTGTCAGCTGTAGGCTTGCAGGTTCATTCATGTTGTAAAGGACCTCAGGAGATTTCTGGTCCAACTTCCTACTCAAAGCAGGGTCAGCCAAGAGATTGAACAAGGTTGCTCAGGCCTTTATCTAGTTCTAGCTCTCAGGATGGAGACTGCACATCTCCAGCCAATCTGCTCCAATACTGAATTATCCTCACAGTCAATTATTTTACTTATAGTCAGTCTAAACCCCTCTTGTTTCAATTTATGGCCATTGTGAGCATTCTTCCTCCATGCACAGCAATAAAGCTTCATCTTCCTCATCAAAAATACTGGTAGGATGCTTCCAAGTGCTCAAGAACCCACTTTTTTTGCTAGGCTGGGCAAGCCCAGTTCCCACAGAAGTGCTCCATCCCTGGTCACCCTCTGCTGAACCTGTGCCAGTTTATTGATCTTTCCTGTACTGGGCACTCAAAAACTGGGCACAATATTCTGGATGTGTCTCAAAAATCTGTCCCAGGTGTAGGACTTTGCATTTGTTCCTGCCAAATCTCAGATGGCTCCCGCTGATCCCATTCTCCAGCTTTGTTACGGAAGCATTTCCCTTCAATGTATCACTTGCAGCCCTGAGCTGGCATCATCTGCCAACTTGATCAGAGTGCACTCCAACTCCTCCTCCAGGTAACAGAGAAAGGTATTACATGGGTCTGGTCCCGGGATAGGACATCACTTCTCACCCGCCTCCAGGAAGGGTATGAACTTGCATGTAATGGCATCAGGGTCTGAAGCCGGGCGCTCAGAACCTCCTTCTTAATGCAAAACATGTTGCCTGTAAGTCATGTCAGGAAAGATTCGTATAATATCTCTTTAAAGTAGGTTTGAATAAAATGTCGGAATAAGGTGCCTGAGACAGTTTTCTATGGTCTTTTTACAGTCAGTGCTGGTGGTGGGAGAGCATATCTAGTGAGCAAGATATCCACTTATCAAAGTCTAGGGAATATCTTGACCATATTCCTGACGTTTCCATTAATGAAGACAGGCCACATGACTTTACTTCTTCCTGACAATAGATCAGTGTAATATTGGACAGAAATATTCAATATCCCACTGCATAGATCAATGGATTTGCATTAGATTGTACCAACTGCACTGTGAACTAGATTTTGGCTTGATCCAGCATGGATTTCTGGATCTCTGATTATGTTCTTTATATAACAGTATAGTGTGATTTGAATACCTCACACAAGAGAAGCTCAAGACTTCTGGTTTCAAGATCTTTATTTTGTCTCTGAGACAAGAGACAAGAAAAAAATTAATAAAGGAGAGCAGTGCTGAAAGCAGGAAAGATGTGTAAAACCTCAGGGCTTGTCTTCATGTAAAAATTTTCAATAGAGGACATTAATGTGACTTGTAGTTATTCCTATCTATCAGTGACGCCTTAGGCTTGTAATTGATTCTTGTCTCCAAGGTTCATTCCAGTAGACAAAAAGTTTGAAGTGAGCCTGGGGGATGATTTCTTCAGGTGGAGATTGATCTTCTATAACAAGCACTTAGGGAATATTTTCTTCTTCTTCTTCTGCCTTCCTGCAGGCAATATGAAAACTCTTATGAGATCAAGAGTCCTCATCAAATAAAGACTTTCCACCACTCCTTGTGCTTTGCAGAAGTCAGTGCTCAGGAAAACATTAGGCGTTTCTTGTGACTTTTGATGGGTTTTAGCTGTGGGCTCTGTGGTTATTCTCCTTTGTACTGGCTTGCCAGCCTGTCCCAGGAGCATACAGTATCTTAGGGGACTCAGCAAAGCCCATCCCATTGCTTTTGTCCTCAGGTGACATTAGAACCCTGTAGAAAGGACAGTGTCTACCCAGTACTGGCCGTGAATCGTCTCCATTATGCCCACTTCAGTTATAGCCACTTCACCTCAGAAAAAACATTAGAACCAAGATAGTAAGACGTATGAAAGAGAAATTAAATAACAGGGGTATAACAATGATGCACAGCATCATGAATGATGTGATGAAGGTAAACAGGGAATAGCTATTCATTATTTCTGATAGTACCAGAACTAATTAAAAGAGCAGGCAGGCAGCTTAAGAGTAACAAAGGATGCATTATTTTTACACAAATCATAATTAAACTGTGGAACTCAACACCTTCAAGTCAGCCAGGTTTGTGGAAGAAAGAAGTGTAGAAGGCTATTAGACACAAGCTCTGGTTCAGCCGCCTCCCAGCCTCCAGATTTGGGCAACCAGGGAGCAGTACTGCTTTGGATGTGTTCCTTTATGGTACTTTGTCCTTGCATATTCCCTCATGCTCAGGATGGAGTTCGGATATTTGGCTACATGCATTTTGGTCTAACTCCATGCAGTTGTTTTACTGTTATGAAAAAGGATATTTATTGACAATACATTTATGCATAGATGGCCAGGGTCTCAAAATGCAACTAAATAAAAACCATAGGACAAATTCCCATCTATTAGTCATCTAAATGTTAAGATATATGAATGTTAACCTTTGTTTTGTGCCCACAATAAGGAAAAGGAGAATCTGGACAGCCAGGCTATAAACTTGGAAATATTCAAGACTGGTACACCAGTTGGAATCAGAGTGGTGCCAGCATAAGGGAGGTGACTATGGATTTGATAAATTTTCCTCTGAAGGCAGTTTTATTATCCTTTCAGGCACCAAAAAAAATTACTATGTCCCCTTGTGAAGGAGATGATCTCCTGTGGGAAGTGCAGTGATTTTGCATTTTGTTCTTTTGACTGGGGATCTCATAATGGTCTGGGAGGATGGCAATTATTCCCATCAGCCTGCAGATCAAGGCACCCAACTGATCAAGTGAAAACAAACAAAAGGAAGTTGTAATCAAAAGCTCTTGCTAATGATTTGTGTGGAATCTGCAATATGTATTAATATTTCCTACTTCCCCCCTTCCAGGCACAACTCAGTGGGAGCCTTTCTGTGACATTCCCCTGACTATCTCTGTTACAAAGGAAAGAGAATTTGAAATGGAGGAAAGATTATTTTTTAATCTGGGACTCTGCTTGCAGTGTGCTTGTGCAGAGATCTGACGCTCAAAGGCTACATGTTGCTCTAACACATTCAGAAGGGGTTTATGGTTTGACAGAGCTGATCTCTGCACCTTGAGCTTTTGATTCACACATTTATAAAACTGCCTCTTAGATTCTTTTAATTAGTGGCAGGCTGCTCTTGGAAGAGAAAGGTAATGGTTACGCATGGGAGCTGGCAGGAGTCTTCCTAACTCATCAGGCCAGATGCAGCTCTGTAAGTTCAAAGGGAGCAGCAAATGCTCACCACCTCTGACAGCAGGGCCACTTCTGTTTAGGTACCCTTTAGACAGAAAAAAGTGACATTTGTGGGTTTATGCTGTCTCTGTTTGCTTTTGCACATGCTCAGCAAGATCTGTGGATAGTGGTTTCCTACCCCTCATGGTACTCTGAGGTTTTGATAGTTGATGGAGGGACTTGAAGATTAAAACAGGGAGGGGGATCACAAAGCGACCTATTTTGATAACAGCAAGGAAAGGATTTGGTGGCTCAGAAATACGCAGGGGTAATTTTGGCATCCCTGCCCTGACAGGCTGTTGAGCTGATCATGACTCACGTTGTTAAGGCGATTTTAACGTTCAATGCCAGCTGATGAAAATTGAGTTAAAGGGAAATTAATTTTACATTCAAACTATAGGAAAGTTAACTCCAGAGAGGGATCACAAGAAAGGAAAACTTGCATGCCCTGATTTTCAGGAGGGAGTGGGAGAACTACAGTATTTTATCCACCCATCTCAAAGGAATCGATTTGTGGTACCTTCTGAGGAGCCTGATGAATGTAAAAAAAAGGACGAGAGAAGGACTGGCTGTTGGGGACCTCAGTTGCCAGATGGGCAGTCCATTCCCCAGGCGGCCCAGCTCCATTTGTTTGTTGTTATGGGGAAAATAAAGGAAAACACTTACAAAAGAACTAAGAAAACTCAGTCTCCAAGCATCAGGCATTAAATCTGACCAGTTGCTCTTTCATGTAAGCTCTTCATATATGTACAGAGGGAACCAGTCTCCTCTACTGAGCAAACAGAGACCACATGCTATCCTAGCTGGGAAACAGGCTGACTCAGGGGGACATGCTGTATCCTTGGAACATCTCAATAATATTTACAAAGCTAAATCCACGCTGATTATCTACAATTACAGGGCTTGGCTGCTGATGTGGGTCAGCTCTTCTCCTTTTGCCAATACCTCTGTGGTACTGATGAGCACGAGGGGCTGAGGCATCTGCAGATGCCTCAAAGTTCTGGTGGGACATTGGACTCACAGAGCAGCTGCAGCCCCCTCAAGCTGCCCAAAATGGCAGCTGGAAAAATCTTGTGATTTCAATGCAGTTTTTATCTTGACATGAAGATTGGCAGCCACTGGCATGATTTCTTTCCATTGAGATTTCAGGCATCTTGACACTTCCATAAACAATGCAGAAATGCCACAGAAAGTTGCCAGTATCCATGTACTTCCTGGAGCACAGGTCTTCACACACCTGAAGAAACAATTCTTACTGGTCCCATAGGAAAGTCCTTAGTCAGAATAAGGAAAAGAGGCTATAATTGCTGGGGCAGCTAAACCCAGCCCCACATCATGCCTCTATGCTGATTTCAGACTTGGAAACAGCAGCAGAGTTTGCTTCATTCCTGGGTGATGCATGTGGGCTCTGTCCCTGCACACACAGCTGTAGCAGGTGGATATATGGATGTTACGCATGTGCATCTGGGCAGGATTCACCTTTTGATGCCACAGTGCATCCCACAAGTCTCAGTACATGGCAGTACATGTTTTACCAATGGAGCTATCACGTTAGGAGCAGCTGTGGCAGTAAGTGTTGTATCTGGAGAGGCATAATGGTTTTCAGTTGAGCATCCTGCGTCAGGGTTCAGGGGTTTGTTTTGTTTTATTTGTTCCTATTTGGGGTCTCCTCAGTTGAGAGATGAGGAGGAGGGAATGTCCTTGTACAAACCACCCTGGGGGAGCCTCTGTGCTGCTGTAGTGAAAGCACTACATCATAATCATCCAAGAGCTCCCTTTGTTGCAATGCAATGTACTCCGTCCTGGGCTTCTCTATTGCAATCCCACATTTCCTGCACATGATCCCTCAGAAGGACAGCACTGAGATTTTGTTGCAGAGCACATGTGGATGGGAAATCACCTTGTGATGGAGTAATGCTCAAAGAGCCACTTCTCAGGAACTTCTTGACTTTCAATGGTATCAGTGGCACAAAGGGGTCAGCATACTATGGAGAACTGATTTATTTGATTTTTTCAAGTCTCTTTAACCTTTTTGTCTAATATTATCTATGCCAGGCCCCTCTGGGAGATTGACAGTTTTTGTACATATGGGGAAATTTAAGATAAAATAGTTCCACTAGCAAAGAAAGGAAAGAAATATCTTTAGTCACTTATATTTGAGAAAAATAAGACATTTCTTTTTTTTTTTTTTAATTGTCTTCCCAACAAATCTCTTGGGAATAAAAGAATGAAAATTTCTGTAGAATTGTCTTCATGCTATGCTGAATCTTGCTACTGTTTGCATGAGGTATGACTTTATCACACAGTGTGCATAAAATACACAGCCTAAGAAAGACACCCCATGCTTCATAAACTGCTAAAGGATGTAGGAAAGCCTGAAGATCTGGGACCTATAGCCAGAGCAGTCATTTCATGAGCAGCTCACTCCTGCAGAGCTCTGCCTGTGCAAGCAAGCCTCTTCTATGCTCTGCTCTGCTGTTCCCAACGCTGCTTTTACCTTTTGAAAGCATTAATTACATAGTTTCTGGGGCTGCAGGTCTAGATGCCCAAATCATCAGGGTTTTTCTGTTTTAACCTTCTCTTTCTTTCAATCCCAAAGGATGAGCTGGCATCAGAAGAATTTAAATGAAGAGAGGCAGCAGCAAGAAGCAGAAGTTACTGAAGCTAATCCAGTGTGTCACTGTCATTTCTACTCACAGGCCTATGAGAACAGAAAAAGGGAGCAGCATCAAGCCAGGAGGAAGCTCTGTGTAGCATCAGTAATTTGCATCTTCTTCATGATTGCTGAGATTACAGGGGAGTATGTTGCCCAAAGAGAGCTCAGTTTGGTGCCCAGCACAGCTGTATTCATGCCCTTTCATATGCACTCTGACTGCAGGGACCCCTGATGCACACAGGTCAGCCCATATGGGCTAAAACAACTCCTTTCTCCCCAGTTAAAAAAAAATGCATGATTTTTTTAATGTGAAATTATCAAAGCATTTTCTAATGATTGCATCTGCATAGGAACACAAAGATCACTTAACGGTCTGAACTGCTCTCCCAGGTCTTTAAGCTGAGTTAAAAGTGGCTTGCATGTCTGAGCATCATGTCAGAAAAGGTTTCTCATAAATTAGGCTATATTTTTTTGGAAGAGATTAAAAGATTTCACATATTTATCCAGGCCAATGAGACCTCAGCACTGATGAAGGTTGCTAGCAGCGGGGTCTGATGCTAAATGCAACAGTCTTTGCAAAATCCATGGAAATTCAGGGCCAGATTCACCATCTGTTTCTCTTCAGTTAAGTCAATGTGTTTATACCAGGGCATGTTTGTCTTTGAATTGGCCTGCTGGCGTGTCTCTGGATCAATTGAAGATTATTCCCCTGTCTAATTAGCTTTCACTTCTGGACCCATCCTATACTATCCAATATAAGTATTTGGCTTATTCATAGAGCATTAGCTTTCATTTTCTCCCACCAATGTGCTCCCTGCATGGCTTCTGTGGTACTTATACCCACCTGATAGCTCCTGGCTCTTTAATTTCCCCTTCTTTGCAGTGAGGTGAGGCAGGGTAAGGCATGAGGAATCCCACACACTTTTGCCACTCCTGCCCCTGGAGATGTAGCAAAAATCAGGTAGGAAGGCCTCTGAAACCCATGCTTTCACAGCTTCAACAGCTCTGGAAGCCCTATGAAAATAAAATAGGAAGGCTTTCTCTTCCCCAGAGGCAAGAAGTGAGACTCTGAGAGAGCCAATGCATTTCTGTCTCCTCCCCTGGCTTTCAAACACATCAGGGGCTTCTCCCACTCTTCTCTCCCAGGTGCTTCCTCTGCATGAAGCCCTGTTTGTAGGTCATCTGCATTTCCCCCATGAAAACTGGTGCATACCATGAATATCCATGCAGTCATTTCCAGTGTTAGAAGTGATGCATTATTAACAAAACCATATAATCAGTAGGCTTAAGTTTGGCGAATGCAGCAATGCTAGAGGATAATTGGAAGGACAGATGATACGTTAACTAAATGTTTCATTTTGCTTAATGAATCACACAGCTTTTTTGCAGTGACAGTTTAAGTAACAGGCTTGAAGACCATTTTGCTTCAGACCATTAAACTTTGACAAACCAGTTATTAACTGCTGTTACAGACAGCGGTCTATAGAGATTTTTGTAATTATGAGCCATACATTTAATTTTTGTAATTGTTAGGCTAGACTGGCTCTGCCTGATGACTGACCATTGAGTGACTGACAATTTCTGCTGCTTTGTGGTATACAAAGCTATAAACATCCACTGTAGGCAATAGTAAGTCATAAAGGCCACTTGTTGGGATCATTGATACACAGCAATAAAAGCCTGTAACTGTTAGACAGCCTTTACTCTTGAAAATGAAGAATATGTTCCCCTTTCTGCTCCTCTTAAGGGCAAACAGCTTCTGTGGGCTTTATTATGCTAAACAGAAGAAACAAAGCTGCATCACTCCCAAAGAGGTTGAACAGTTGTGCTTCCTTGAAACCCTAGATCTTTCCATGATTTTTCTTCTCAAGCCATCTGTGCTTGTCCTCACTGTTCTCCCAAAAGGGGCACAGTTGGCTGAGCCTGATACACCAACTGTTGCCCAAAGACTATTATCTTCTGTTTTTCTAGTGCAGATCCATCACAGTCTCCATAGATCTGGAAATACTACTCAAACTGATTACACCCTATGTACAGCCCTGACATAAAAGTGCTTTCGAAGGATTTTTAGTGGCTAAGGACTAAATGTGGATTTCAAAGTAGTTTATTTCCATTTGGGCACTAGAAAGAGAGACATGTGTCCTCATATCTAAAAGGAATATAAAGACTTGACCACGTTGCAAAGATAAGCAGACCAAGATCTCAGAAACTCACCCAAAGCATTAATTATGCCAACAATACATAAAACAATGATTGCATAATGTTTTTGAAAGATGGCAGGCTGGAAGCAAGCCTTTGTAATACTGCCCCACAGAACACGGAAATACAGTGTCAAAAATGCAATAGGGTTTTTCAGGCAGCTTGTGCTCTATATATTTGTTTGCTCAAAGATAGCTGATGCCTTGGTTGTTAACATCTGTGCGCTGTCAGATAAGCCTGCTTCCTTCTGCCATGCAAAATTGCTTCCCACTTGAGAAACAGCTACCCTGTAAACAGTGAAAGCCAAAGAGCTGTGTTGTGGGCAAAAAATACACGTGCATTTACAGCTGCCTGCTCTGGGAAATCCCTATTCTGATGAACTTTTAATTTCACTGCGAGAAATGAGATGCCCCCAAATTCTGCAGTCTTGCTTGCCCCCTTTTGGAAAGTAACTTTCAGCTGTAAATGGGATGAATATTGAGGCAGCAGAGAAAAATAATATATGTCCTGTATGTGCAATATACATTCTCCTGTGGTGACAAATCGTAGTGTTAGGTATTCTAATCTAAAATCTGTATATGGGAGGAAATTAAACAGATAGTCCATCCTGCTGGCATGAAGACTTTCAATATATAAGGAAATGAGAGATGTCTACATGTCCCTTTGGCAGAGGTATCTTGCTAATGGTTTGAATGAGGCATTTTATGATGTTTTTCAGGATTCATTGATTCTCATATGGGTTGTAGTCAGGAGGAACAGGTGAGCTGAAATTAATTAAATGACTGAAGTATGGAAATATATTGCCAAAAGCAGAAACCCGATGTTTTGGCTATGATATTTCACGTTCCCCTTTTTCTACATTGCTACTCTGACAAAAAGATTCCCCTGCTATAACAAGCTCACAGGACAGCTTCCTGCCTGTGATTCTTGTCATGTCCTGCAGCCATCAGCAGCTGAAGTACTTTAGAGCAATCTTTTAGTTCCTTTGGATTTGCCTTTAGCCCTGAGACATGGTTAGAAAAGTTTGGCAAAATAATGCTATTTGGCTTACTGGGTAAAATAAATGTGGTTTCAGCCTGATATATTTATGGGTTTTTGTATTTCTCACAGAATTCACATGAAACCAAAACCCCCCAAAGTAAAATGACATTCAGCCACATTTTTTGAGCTCTAGCAGGAGAATTAAATCATGCATTACAGATGCAAAATGATAGATTAGTCCTATGAACAGAACATTTTTCTCTACGCCTTCACCAAAATGGCTGGTTGTTTATCACAGCTTTCTACTGGGACCTTTGCTTTTATTCCTGTTTTAGTGTTGCCTGTGACAAATAAACAGTTGGGCATCCATCCATCCAAAACTCGGGAAGAACACTCATATTTTCCTATGACAAATAGGAAATTAATCCCATAAGCTAAGTCTCTGAGTTTCTGTATATAAATAAAAATATCAGTGATCTGTGAAAAGATAGTGGGAGGATACTGGAAATGTGATCACTAATACTTTCCTGAAGAAATCTGGTATTAAAATAGATACATTAAAACTGTCCAATAGTAACATCACTAATGTATCACTATTCTTATAGTCCTTCTCAAACAAAGAAGTTTGGCTTATTTCTTCATACCTTTCACCACATGAGCAAGGTACGAAATGAAACTACCATTGAAGAGTTTTGAGTCGTGTTGAAAATGGAATGCTCCCTTTGATTCACAGCAAAGCAGGTCTTGAGTTTGATCTGATCAACTCAAATGCCTGACCAGAGCCATGATACGGATGCGTATTTCACACAGGTGGGCATATTGCTGGGAGCCTGGCCGTGATCACCGATGCGGCACACATCCTGGTGGACCTGACAAGCTTCCTCATCAGCCTCTTCTCACTGTGGCTTGCTTCCAAACCTCCCACCAAACAGCTGACTTTCGGGTGGCACCGAGCAGGTAGAAAATGTGTCACAGTATGAACGTGTGGAATGGGAAAGGGAAGTCATCATAGCCAAAGACTGGAGAACGTGCTGATGTCCCACAGCTCTGCAGATAGAGATAGTGCACTACTGCTCTTAAAGCCTCCAGGACACATGGCAAACAGACCAAGCCAGTAAGCTTCAAAGAAGTGAAGAGCACAGTCATGTCTTACCTACAAACATATCTTTCAGTTCATTTATGTAGTTTTGGGGTGGTGCTAGCTTTGGCTGAGATAACAGCAACTTCCCTCAGGGACTTGAGTGTGAGGAGGGCTGAGTCCTCAGCCTACTATGAAACACAAGTTTCTATAAAAGTAGTAATACCCATTAACATGAGGGTCTACTCCATTTATAGAATGATTATTATTATTATTATTACATTATTCTTTAGACAAAAATGTTCTACTTGTAGAAAAGTGCTATCCTTTAATATTTACCATTTCTCAAATGGCTCTAGATACCTATGCACCTGAACTGAGGACTCAGACTATAAATGCTTCAAGGCTATACACTCTGAAGGTCCAGAAGCAGCTTCTGATGCAAGATGCCTGTAGGCCAAGGTTGCTTGTAGCTGCAGAATGTACAAGGGAAGACATATGCCATAAGAATCATGTCTTTATATTTCTACATAAGTATATTTACCAACTTTGCTGGAAACAAACTGCTGGGTGAAGCAGGGGCTTAATATGACTGAAGCACGGCTGGCATTATATAGACAACATAGAGCTGAATTTTGCAGCCTTAGTAAACTACTACTTGCCATCAGCTGACCTAAAATTACTTTTTGTGTTTATGTTCTCTTGGCCTGGGAAGAAAGGAAAACTTCTCTCTTGCTGACATTCATGAGGTTCATGATGTTCATGAGGCTACCTGAGGTTCAGCCACCCCATGCAGCTTCACCCTCAGTCTGTGTTAGATTTTTTTGGTTTTTGTAGTTGCAATGCAGAACTTCAGACCCAAACTTTTACTGTCTTTTTATCCCAGTAGCAAAGAGAGCCTTGCATCAAATGTTAGTGGCTAGTTAATTGCATTCCATGATAGTTATCCTGTTTCTTGTTTATTTTCCTCCCTATATTTCCAGTTTAATATGCAGGTGCATACCTTAATAGAGTAGCAGAGGGCAGTCAGGGAGCTGGCAAAGTCACTGTGCAATGACTACCAAGGCTTTGCAGCTGCAGCCCTCCGTGACACTGGGAGCTGTTTTTTCACTTCTTTTCTCAGGCTGATAGGTAGGGTTTGTCAAGCAAAGACTGTGTATGACAGGGCTCAGGTTTGCAGAAACCACTTGAATGCCTCCTATGCTCTAAGCCAGAGTCAGGCAGCAGAACCAGTCAAGTGGTTCAAATTCAATGAAATCCTTCAGAAACATGCCTAGAAGCACAATATTGAATAAGACTGATAGTGTGAGCCAGACCTACCTCCAGGTAGGAAAGCTCTCTTCAAGCTCAATTTCTTTATTTCTGGCATGATTCAGAGATTCCCAAACAATCCCGCACTATTGTTTGCTCTGTCAGTGCCAGTAGTGATGAAGAAATGTAACAGAGAACATCTTGAGTAAAGCAATTAGTACTACCGAACTGGTTTGTAAGCTTAACTAAACATTTGCTAATACACTACATTGAAAAGTATTTTTTACCTATGTAATACAGACGACCTCTAACACATTCAGTTGTGGAGTATATGCACACATGCACACAGATTCACTCGGGTGTTCCCAAAAGCTGTTGACTCCTTTCATGCCAATGATAGCATAACCATCAACACCTTCAGCTGGGCCAAATCTGCAAGGTTTCAACCTGTAACTTGCAGAAAATATAAATACCAGCTGTGCTTTATGTTAGCCTTCCTTTAAGCAAGACTATATTGCCCTAAGAGTGTGCTTTCATTTATTATTTGTCAATTTTAAACAAAATAGTTATTTTGATAAGCGTCTGAAGCCTGGCCTGCTGCAAAAGGTGTGTCCCTCATAAAAATATATTCAAAGCCATAAGGTGAGTTTCAGCTGCTTCCATGGGCTGTGCCAGTGCAAGTTTGTGCAAGTGGTTTGCTGTTTATGGCTCATCTACTGCCTTTCACTTTACTGTGAGCTTTCATTTACCTACGTATTGTCTCAGCTGCACTCATAACGTGACACATTTACCCATTCAAGTCACATGGCAATTACTAGTCCCACATTCTATTAAAAACATGCTGCGCATTCGTATGAGCATCCTTGGACCTCTCCTCTGGCAGTTCAATAAGAGGTGGCCTTGGGGACTGGATTTATTTGAGCCCAACTCAGAGCCAATAGAGACAAAATTAAATTTCACTGCCCCAGGGAAAAAAATAAATTCTTTGTCCTTTCATGCTGGCGGCACAAGAATGATTTTGTGCTGCTGGCAGGATGAGTCCCAGGAGAGAGGAAGAAGAGGTTTTGCTGGCAGGACCTCACTGGGGGCTGTCACTGGCTTTCTGAGGTGTGAAGAGACAAGAGGTGTGCAGAAACAAGGGAGGCAATTGAAAAGGGCTCATGTCTGACAGCAGGTTTGGGTGGGCCAAGCCTCTCTCTTTCCCTCCAATCTCCTACCCCACGACCAAGACAATCTTGTTTGAGAAGGAGGGCTGGTTCCTGGGGTCTTCACACCAAACCAGCAGGGCCAGGCAACTACATCAGATGTAAAAGAACTGCTCTTTCATTCTTTCTTCCTATTACAGCTTCTTTTGAGAGGAGCTCAAAAACTCCACAAACGACCTTTTTCATCTACCTCTCCAAATGCCACATGAAATCAACACTGGGAAGAGGACAAAAGTAATAGCAGATAGAACAGGGTTAGGCCATCACATGGATAGGGCTGCCCTTGGCAGTCACTGGATTTCCTATGATCAGAAGAGGTTTTGGCCCATTCCTTGTGAGCATCAAGGCTGCAAATATACAAGAACTCTCTTGGCTATAAAGCTCACAAACTTGGAACTATTACCATCAGACTCTTTACCATTTTTTGCATTTCTGCCATGATTCCTGCTAATATCAGATTGTTTTAATTCCTAGAAATTCTGGGAGCTTTGCTGTCTATGATAATCATTTGGATGGTGACTGGTGTGTTGATATATTTGGCTAGCTTGAGGCTGCTACACCCTGATTACAATATTGATGCTACAGTGATGCTCATTACCTCTGCTTGTGCCGTGATCGCCAACATCCTGTAAGTTAGTTTTCCTCTCCAGTATAACTTTTGAACCTTGAACCTGCTGCTGCATTTCAATAAAAAACAACAGAGAGATATTAATCTCAAAAATATTGTTTATGAGCTTCATGAAGATACGGAAAAGGGTAGAGAAGAGACATCTTGCTTCTCATTGAAGGATGAAGTTGCTCTCTTCCTTCCTGTTAGCTGTGACACTTAGAAGGGAGATTATGAATGCAGGAAAAAATTAATCTCCATCTCACTTTTTATTAGATGCCAGAGCATTCAAGAAATTTATAGAAAATGAGGCCTCATTAATTACCCCATTCACAGACTTTCTGGTTTGCATGCAAAGCACTGAAACACCTAGGAATTTTCTGCTTAGCCACTCTGCATTTTTACCTAATGTGTTTGATTTTGCTGTTCAGAAATCAGAAGTGAGAGGGGTGATGATGTGTGTGACATCGCTGCTTTCAGAGGTGCAGTAACCCCATTGATATTTTCAGCTTTACATCTCTTGCAGACTAAGCCTGATTCTGCACCAGACTGGACATGGGCACAGCCATGGGGCACAAGCCAAGGAACATGTGTCAGCCCCTCTGGAAAAGCCAGCTCTGAGCAATGCCAGCCTGCGAGCAGCCTTTGTGCACGCCATCGGAGATCTGTTCCAGAGTCTTAGTGTGCTAATTAGTGCACTTATTGTCTTCTTTAAGGTTAGTTTCATTAGTTCACTTGCCTTCTTTGCTATTAAGGACAATTTGTATTCATAGAATTGTGACACGGGGTACTATGGAAATATTTTCTCTGTCTTAATGATATACATCGTAATTTAGTCAAAGACAATTACACTTATTCTTGGTAATTGAAATGGCTGCCGAGAGTATAACAGTTGCTTCTTGGTGTTTCAACTGCACAGAGGATACTTTGGAGTCTCTCCCTTTCTTCATCTGTAGTGCCTTCATTCTCTGTGCTGAGGCTCCCTAACTGGCAAAGGATGTCAACACTCATTCTGGACTAGATGAATGGAATGTATTATTCTTTGAGATTAACTAATTTAAAATGGCAATAACCAACAGTAATGTAATTAACAAAATGATGTGTTCGTGTTTTTCTAGCCAGAATACAAAATAGCTGATCCAATCTGCACATTTGTGTTTTCCATCTTTGTTTTGGCAACGACCATCACCATTTTAAGGGATATTTTGATTGTGTTAATGGAAGGTAGGACCTCATTCCAGAATCAATACAGTTATATTTTGAGGGTTTTTTTTCCTCTCTCTTTCTACATAATGTTTATACTCACTGACAAAAGCATAATAGCACACTTCTGTATTGGTTTCCAATATTCTTGTAATTCTGATCATACTTTGAACCTAATTACAATTTTAATCAAAACTGTTTTCTACAATTACACTAGAAGATTTATACATATGACAGTTTTCATAACAACCTATGTACTGGTGTTCTGTTAACGAACTCCCAATGTGTTCCTAAAGGTGAGCTGGTTTTGTTTGTTTTTTGTGTGACACTGCGTTTTACCACCTCTCATATTTTTTGGAATATGAGAGATCTACTCTCTTTGTTCATTTCCTTGACCCAGGCTGTGCTTTTAACTGTGTCTGTGAAATAGGCTGAGTGCAAGATGCAGAAGTTTAAAAGATTTTAGTTATGCCAGTCCAGAAAAACAAGCCAATGGAGCTTTCCAGTCATGTACAGGTACAAGGAAATAGACAATTCTCAGCACATCACAGCAAGAACTATGCTGAGCAGTATTTAATTCTATCAGATATGGGCCTGATCACTTGGTTTGCAAGGCTAAATGACTTGAGCAGTCATAGATGCATGTTTTTGCCTTCCTTACAGTGAATAACATAATGTAACCTCTTTCTCAGCTAGGAAGACATAAGGATCAAAGGGAAAAGTAATTGTAATAGAGTAGGTTTAGAATGGATGTGAGTTACTCAGTGACTGTCTGCCTGTTTTTTTACTTCTCTCACTTCTTTTTTACTGTTTTTTTATTTCTCTCTTTCACTTCTGTCTTTTGTTTTAAGACAGAAAATTTCCAATATTGTGTCTTTATTCTAGGGTTGGCTTGCTTTCAGTGACTGTGAGATAGAGATATATTTATATATATATGTGTATATATATAGCTGTGTACTTAGACAGAGTGCAGCAACTGCCAGCATCTTGGTTGCCAAAACAATCAGAAGATCCCTTGATTACTGCAAATAAAAATCAAAGCTCCACTGACACTCAGGGGTCTCTTTCTCAGGGCACTGATTCCCAGAAGTGCTTTTGTGCCAAGACTGGCCATGCTCAGTTTCCCTCTGCAGCAAGCCCTTGCACGCTATGCTTCTGAGGAGGTCCCTGAAGCCAGTCTCCTACCTCCTACAGAGCATATTCTGCCCAGAATTTTCTAAAGATAAATTGGATGCTGGAGTTGGTATTGGAGGTGGCCCTTACCACAGGCATCCAGTCTGTCCTGGGGTGTCAGCCACACAGCCCCTGCAACTGACTGTGTCTTGCAGGCGCTGACTGCCTGTGGTTTTCTCCAAAAAGCATGTAGCATGTTCATGTCAGCATCAAATTCTTCTAAGTCAGTACTCCACATAGCATACCATTGTTGTCATAAATTGATAGGACAAAGCATAAAACACTGAAGTCATTTTCATTTATGGCATGACGAAGTTAAGCAATATTGTGCTTGTCATTATTATATTTCATAACTGCTGGCATTAAAAATATTTTTCACTTTGCTGATGTAAGTGAAACATGATGAGTGATGAGCATAACTGTTCATGAGGGTATAGAGGTGCATTTCCCCTCTGCCAGCTCGTACTCCAGGAAAATCTGTAGTTAAATTCCTTGGTCAAATTTGGATTTAGATTAAATTCTGACTCTCATGTGGCAACTCACCCTATCACAATTGTCCTCACTCTGAATGAGGGCCACCACCGTCATCCTCTTTTGTAAGAAGGCTGATCTAGGAAAACAATCACTGATCTACTGAATAACTAGACCTGGGATCTAATCTCATCTAAGATTCCCCAGTCAAACCATTTTAATCTTTATGTTTATCTTTCCCTCTATGCTAAGCAGATGCTTTTCTATTGTGTAAATGTATTGAGGGTAGAATCCCCAAGACATGTTAACGTGATGCCATAAAATCTGCACTCACAAAAGATGTTGGTGCAAAACTAAGACAGTATCGGGCTAAACATCTTACTTCCCTATGTAAACTGAGCCCTCAGAGTATCATCTCCTAAGATATGCATGAGTCTCATTCTTCCACGGGGAAGTATAAAACAAGAGATACGATTAAATTTCACATTGAACTCTGAAATGAAAAAGCATTGAATATTTTTATTAAAATTATACATCCAAGTGAATAAAGGTTCATGACGCACTTTAGTCTAATGATCATTATTCTTATCTCTCACTTACTTTTTTTCCCCACCAATTTCTCCTTTAAGGAACATCAAAAGGATTTGCTTATGATGAAGTGAAGGCAAGAATTTTAGCAGTTGAGAAAGTGGAATCTGTTCACAACCTTCATCTTTGGTCTTTGACAATGAATCAAACTATTTTATCTGCTCATGTCGCCACAGGTCAGTAAATTTCTCTGAACAGGGAGTAAGTATTCAGCTGCTGCCTAGTAAAGGTCAGTCTCTCCTGACTGGGATACAACTGACTCTATCACTGTTGCTTTTTAAAACAAATGTCATCATTTTGTTGGCAAAATAACAACAGCATCAACAACAAAAACTCTCAAATCTTTCTCACAGAAATCTTGCCAAAACACCAGGGGCAGCTACTTAGCCCAGAACCTGAAAACTGCAGAGATTGTGGAGCAAGGAAGCAAGCTACAAGATATTTTAAATAAATAAGAACTAGACCCAGGCTGATTTTTTTTTCATGATATCAGACAGGGTTTGGAGTGGATTTGTCAAACTTGAAAACTGTTGATCCCTGTAAGAAGAATTTACAGGGCAAATCTGCATTCCTGATTCATCTCTAACTGTAAAATGACCTTTAAACATAGCTTGGAGTGCAGCTGTAACTCCAGGGAAACAGTTCGTCTTTAAATGCATTTTTTAAAATGTAGACCTTATCCCTGTTGACGAACTCTCCAATATCTGCATCAATTTTCTTATTTATCTGTTTGCTTGCACATGGTAAAGTTTATTTAAGAAAAAAATTCCACCTCTGTTTGGCCAACAATGGGGTCAGAAATTCAATCCTTTATGGAGTTTCCACTTCCCCAAAAGACTGGGTCTATCAGCCACTTGTATCTGTGTGTATCACTTGGCACTGCTGCTACTCCCTGACTGGCTGAACTAATCTTTATTAAGTAGTCCTGCTTTCCTCCAGCCTTCTGCCAAACTGATTGTTTTTGGTGATTACTCTTAGCTCAGCTCTTGCCAAAATTGCATGTTCTGACCACATTTGAAAGAACAAACTTCTGCTGATGTGCGGGTTCCTGAAAGGAGGATAAAAAGGACAAGAAACAAACTTCTTATTAGGAGTTTGCTGATAGTTTCTGTCAGTAAACACTTACTCTTCTTTAAAGTATTATATTCTATGCATTTTGATTATTTTCTTCTTGCTATCTGTAGCAGACACAGAGGACAGCCAGGAGATTTTGAGAGATATTACCCAAGCACTGTTTGAGCACTACAGCTTCCACTCCATTACCATTCAGATTGAGTCGGGAGAGGATCAGAAACATGACTGCATCTTCTGCCAAGATCCCAGGGATTAAAGGGAGCAGTGTGCTATGCATCCCTCTTACAGGTCAATGGAGAATGTATGTGTTGGTTGTACATAATTGATTAACAACAAATGGTAATTAACTGAACTAAAAAGCCTTGCTACTGCAAACAGTGGATGGACCTTTATTTGTTAACACCACCTAGCAGCAGAGAACATGTATATAGGTCCATCCATCAGCTAATTTACCTGTCCATCAGGGGTTACTTTCAATTACAAGAGAAAGTATCTAAATTATTCTTGACTAGAGCAGCAGATTGGCACTAAAGCAACATCAAGTGTGCCTGTTTGTAATCACAGGTAACAAAAAACTAATCAACCTTCAAATTACCAGCAGACCAATTAGCAAAAATGTAATGAAACATAAGCTTGGTGTCACCAAAGATCAATACTTACTCAGGGTAAAAGAAAATTTAAATTAGCAGGAGGGATGAAAAGATCTGGGAAAGAAAAAGATGGTGGCATGTGCTTTCCCTGCCTTTTGGCAGACACCCCTCCTCCTGCATACTAAGGTGAGTATCAGTTGTGCACCATACTCTGCAGTGCAGATCACAAAAGAATTAACTCCATTCTCATTTGGCAAATATTACTCTTATTGGCAAATAAATTATTGGCAAATAAAAACTCTAGTTTGTAGCTACCCCTATCTATTTTGCAGCTACCATCAGCCAGACATGGGCAGCATTCTCTACTATCAAGACAAGGGTTGGAACTGGATGATCTTAAGGGGCTTTCTAACCCAAACCTTTCTATGATTCTGTGATTCTATGATTTTGGGTTGTTTGTGTCACAAGATACCTCTGGGTCATGACAATAAAATAAAGCAGAAAAAAGAAAAAATAATTAGGAAAAGAAAAGACTGGGGGCAATTGTGAACATCATGTCTAGTGTCTTCCATAAGCATGGCCTGTGGGGCGTCACTAATGCTGCATCCCTGAAGTCATATCAGACAATTAAAAAATCCTTTGGTGTATCACACAGCTATCCACTGTATCATGCTCCTTCAGGCAGCTGATACCCACATTTCCTAACAGGACGTGTTGTCTTTCTCTTCAGCATACCTGATAATGGTTACTGGGGAACTATGAGCAAAGACTCAGATCTTCCTGCAGCGCTTCTATTTGTGTCCAACCAACTGAATTAAATTCTCACTTGTTAGCAAAACCAAGGGTTGCACTACAAAATGCATGCTCAAGTGCTTCTTCACAAAACAACTTCACTTCTGCCCTTCACCATAACAGTGTAGCTTCACTTTCCATGCAGAACTAGAGGTAATATTTTCCTACTCCACAGTCCTCACTCCTACAGCTGAAGGGCTCATATTAACTAGCAGGTTTGTTAGAACAGAATAAAGAGTGTGGTACTGAGTGGTACTGAGTTTCTAGGCTGACAGCTGGAAAAAGCATTGTGTTATTAAGGTATAAAGAGGCCTTGCTTTTGAGGGAATTCAGTTTTATTTGCAATAGGTTTACATTGGTTTTCTACTTTATCATCCTAAGGAGATTAGAGTTTATTATTAGGGCTTTTGGTTATGGATAATAAGTAACTACGTGATGATAGATTGATGTATTAAGCAAGCATTTGTTACCTGGTAGGGAAACAGAAATTATTCTGCTTTGTGGAGGCATCCCAGAAGATTGTAGTCAGATAAAACTCCCACTGAAATCAGATAAAGGTATTAAAACACAAAACCCACTAAGAATTTCATGAGTATCTCATTATTTACTGTCTTGAAAGAACTCAGACCATAGCAGTGGTATTGGTACAGTGATAAAGACAGTTCTTGCCCTTTACAACTGAAACTCCAGATGATAAGACACAGATAAATCAAAGCACAGCAAGAAACATTAAATGAAGAAATTAACTTGTATTTTGGGCAGTTTCTCTGCTGGTATTTTTTAGCATAGTTGCCTCCTACCAAAGGCAAATCAGCTGCGCTTGTTAAGTAACCTGAGCATTCTTTTCTCTGGTTGGGGAGGATAAGTTAAAAGTGTTGCCTTTGTATGGATTAAAAAAAGTATCTCAAAATGTTTTGAATAAGATGAGGGCACAGTATCAGATGTAATAGGGAATTCTGGGGAACAGATTTATGGTCAAGGACAATGTAAAAGATACTGAGTAGGTGACAGAAGCATCCTTATAGGACCCAGATTCGGATCTGAGATTTAGGCTGAGGTGGAGATAAAGACCATGAGTTTAAGAGCAAGTCTTGATTTTGGAAAAAAATTAAACAAACAAATGACATGGTCTACCAAGAAAGCTGTGCTGAGCAGCAGAGCTGAGGAAAAGCTGGGTGGAAGCAACACAAGGGGGGCTGGAAGAAGATTCATCAGCCAGGACAAGGACTGATGAGGCTGTTGTCCAAATTAATTGAAAGGATGTGGAAGTCTTTCATTAAGTTTTGGAAAAAGGAGCACTGAAATATAGAGGCATGAGGAAAGAAGGAGTTAATCCAAACTAATGGTCCTTAATTACAGGGGGTGGGGGAACATTGTAAAATAGAAGGTTTAAGAAGGATGTGGGGTAGCAGCTGCCATCCTCAGTAATCCCAGTGGTCTACCGAACCCTCAGAATGGTAGCCTGAGTGTATACGAGTAGTAAAGGGCAGGGCAGAAACGGGGAGGGAAAGGAGAAGTTTGTGTTTGTTAGCAGCAGTAAACCTTGTATTTCATGCAAAATAATTCAACCATGTATTTTTAGCAAAAACTAGAGACAGTGCAATTGCCTTTACTTTCTGATGTGGAATTTGCTCTATCAGACCACCGTAGCAAAAGTAATGCAATGGCTTATGAAAACCTAAGGGAATTTTACCTAAATACTAGGACAGACTGAAGATTAATTTAGAGCAAATATTTACCTGTAGTTATGAATACTGTTACAGAATCTGAATCTTTAATGCTCCCACTGTGTATATAAATGTAAAATGCAGATTTGTTTTTCATCCCCATTTAGTTTGATCTTCAGGGATTTTACCTTAGTACAAGGTTGCAGAATACTGTCTGACTGGCTGGGAAGGATATCTGCAGAAATGCTTCTGCCATACACAGAGGTCAGGGCTGAGAGGTTCAGAGACAATTTCTAGGCTTCTCTGTTTTTATTAACTTTATACCCTTTTGATTGTCTGCAAAATAACTATAAGAAAATTCGCAAAATTTGCTATCTCTAAATCATTCTTGGAACTAGTGTGAAACAGAAGAGTATTTGTTACATAAGTGGTCTGTTTTCCATGTCTGACTGGGTTTTTTTGGTGAAGTTCAGTTCACATGGGCAAGTACATGGCTTTATTGACTAGCACTGAAATTTTAGGTCATATATATAATATATTTCCTCTGATTTTTGAAGTAGTCATTTTAAAGCTTGTAAATTATATAGTTCTTCTTTCCCACTGAAAGCACTTTCTCACTTAGAACAACCAAAATCTAACATGCTGAGGAGAGCCTGAGGATATGGACTTTGTAGAAGCTCAAGACTTTTTTGAGCAGAAACCATGAAATGGGCAAATGCAAAGCTAAACTTTCCTATCCAGGACTGACAAAGGGCTGAAGTGCCAATATTATCCTGAGATCACCAGGTATCTGGAAAAGAATGAAAGAAGTATTTATAATTATTCATTATAATTATTTATAATTATTCAAACTGGAAACAGTTAAGGCACAAATCTGTCATTAGCATCAATGGAATAGTCCTTTACTGTAACTATAGCTGTAGACTTTGTTCTGCATTATCCTGTCTGAAATATTATGTGAACTTACGAGAACTGGATACGCAATTAAGGATTATATTGCTCACTTAATATGAGACATCAAAGGAGTAATTCATCATCTAGACGGGAAGGCCAAACAAGATGTCCCAGTGTTGCCAATGGCAGCAAATGGTGACCTAAGCAATGAGTACTGTGTAGGTCTGCAATATCACTCTTAACAATGTCAAGAGGTTTTATATCAAACAATTTTGGCTCTATTGTAAAAGCTAGCATGTTCCAACATGTTTTCCTCAGTGCCTTCCTCTCAGCTACAGCAGATGTACCCCTTTCTTTTTCATCCCCTTTGACTGTTGCACCCTTCTATCTCTGCTCTTCTGTTTTTCCCCATTTGTCTTTTATCAGCAATGCCTCAACTGGCTGTCTATTCAAATTTCAATGCCAGCATGAAATCTATTACATATCCTTTCTGCTTACAGCCCTTCCCATTCCCCTTCAACCTGTGTGGTTAGATAAAAGCTCCTCAGAAATAAACTGCGTTTTGCTCTGTGTTTGTTGAAAACATGATACAATGAACCATCTTTTTTCATTTGAACCTATTGTGAGCACAATAATAACAAGGACTTAAAGTCAAAGAGCAACATCACATATTGACCCATGCCAAACACCACTGTATATTTACTTTGTATTAAAGTTATTTAGAACTTTCACAGCCAAAAAATTATCTGAGCTGGCTCCAGCTTAAGGTACTCTTTCATGTTCTCAAGCCTGCTGATAATCTCTTTCAGCTAAGAAAAGTAAAATCCTTTCCCACCTGAGTACACACAGTTTAAGCAAGAAAGAATTAGAGACATCCAGTTGCTTAGCTGCCTCCTTTGACTTCTCTCTGCTTGGACTTTCTGTCTTCTAGCAAGAATGCACTGCTGCAGGGGAAGCTTTGGAGCAGCCCATTGAGAACAGTGGCTGGAATGGAAGCACAGCAGAGAGTTGTTTCACATGGTTACTAGGGCACACTCAGAATTTTTTATCCCAGGTGATAGGATGATGAGAAACTTTCTGCTTTTCACTGCAGTTTTGGAGTTAAAACAAACAAACAAATAAACAATGAAGATAAATGAATGAACAGAAGATAGAATGTTGTGAAACATTCCTGGTGGCATCAGAGGCATTTTACCCCACTGCTTGCACTCTTCCCTAACAGCAGGACTCTGTAGCTTTGTCTCCCAGACTGCACTGCCGCATGCTCTGCCATGATGTGCTGTGTCTCCTTACCACACACCATAGAAGCTGCCATGGCATGCAATGAAAGGTGTTCTGCTGTGACACATGTCATATGATTCCTTGCCTGATACAGCTATGAGCTTCTCAGCTATCCAGACTCCTCCTGAATTGCATGGACAGAAGAATTACTCAGGCTTTGGTGAAGCACTGACTTCTTTTTACCTGCTGTGTAGTTATACTCTGCACTAATTTTCCTCTTGGAGACTGAAGCTGACTGGAACAGTTCATATATCTTCTGTCTAAATGAGAAAGAGCAGTAATCCATTAATCATGGCCCAACCTGCTAATCCACAAAGAGGCAAAAGGCGCTCCGTGCTAGATCCTGGTGTCTAGGCAGTAATTCCAAGTTCAAAACGCTTGGAACCTGTGTGCTTCCCAGCAGCAGTGTGCAACCCAGATCCTAAAATTCTGCCTCCTGCCCTGCTTTCTGCTTTGCTGACAGGCAAGTATTAGCAGTGCTTTGAAGGATGTTCTGTGCTTTGAAGGATGTGGTGTGCTTTGGAGGAGCAGAAGAAACTGCTGGTGAGCTTGTGAGGATGTCGCGTCCATCCCTCCTCTGCCAGAGTAGTTTTTTGCAAAAGTAGGAACCAAGAATAAATGACAAAGGGATAAATGGGAAATCCTGTGGGCTTCAATGCTAC